ACACCCTCTGGATCTAGGCTCCCTTTTAAAAGCTTGTAAGCCAGTCACTTCTTGCCTTTGTAGACCCCCCATTTTGGGTATCCAATGTCTAAGATCCCCCTCCCTGTCAACCCTGTGTACCAAGGGGGTGGGAATGATCCTCACTGTAGAAATTTGTCCGCTCCTTTGTCATACTGCATCCACAAGCAAAGGTCAAGATCATTCACTTATAGTGGGTTACTCCTTTTTATCCCCCCTCTTCTTTCTTTCTCTAGTAGTGTTCTGATCATCCAGTCATTGATGCCAGGTCAAATGGGTACTATCTGCAAGTGCGGGTGTTCTTGTGTATCCCCCCTCTCTTTATATCAGCTGGATGCTTCACACTCCATTCTAGTCCTCTGGGGCCATGTCCCTGTCCCTGGGCCCAGGACCCCCCAGGTCTCGTCATACTGCTGGTTAACCAGGTCTCAATCCAGGCTAACAGTAGTCTATTGGATGTGGTCGGACTTAGTTCACAACTTCATTGCTGTTTTTTCCCTGCTTCCCCTTATCAGTGACCAGCGTGGCCAGCAGCAGGACCATATGCCTGCTAGTGTATTCCATTTGCGTTTCAGTCTTGGAAGGGGGCTTGCCTTGAGGGGACCTGACCACTTGCCTTGATGGCTCCCTGGGGAACAACTTGCTTGTTCTTGTAGTAGTCAATTGGACTGCTGTTATTGTTTTTGATTTTTCCTGCTGGTCTTTCTTTCAAGAAGTATCTTGTGTTTTTCTAGCTGCTCCAGACTGGTCCTTTCAAGTGGAAATGTCCCACCTAAGAAGATTCTGAATGGGGATCAGGATTCTACCTATGGTCTTGTGCAAATGCAAAGGCTCTGCAGGGAGCCTCCTTCACTGGGCAAGTTCTAGCCCCAGTTTATGTATTCTAATCAGTTATAGGCTGAAGACAGACAAGCTTTCTCTGGTGATGTTTCTGGATATTCCTCTCTCTCTCCTTCAAGTGTCTATTTCACAATAGTAGGCAAGGGAAACCAAGATTAAAAAGACAGCCAAGCAGCTTAACATCATTTCCCCTACTTTTACCCATTCAAACCATGCCTCAATCTTTGTATCCACGAGCCCTGTTGTTCCACATTTGTGCTTAGATCATTATTTAACTCTGCCCATTTAGCCCATGTAAACCTGCCGAGCTATTTTCCCATCTGCCTTATTTTTCCTATCCCCTTCCCCTTCTAGTGTATTGTCCCCCCACAGCACCAAACTATCCTGTGTCTATTCTATACCCTGTGTTCCACTATCCTGTGCCTATTTCCTACCCTGTGCTCCACCTTCCCCTTCCTTCTCACCCCACCACATACACCCTGGTAACGAACAACAACAATAATAATAATAATAATAAAATTAATAAAAGATAAATTTTTATCCCTCCTTTCAGTGTGGGTGCTTTTTTAAAATCTTTTACAATAATGACTTTATGCCATATTTCTCCTTTTGTGACTGACTGATTTCACTCAGCATAATGTCCTCAAGGTTCATCCATGCTATGCTGTGGCTTGCTGCTTCCTTGTAATTCTTCAGGGTAGCGTAGTATTCTATTGTGTGTATGTACCAAAGTTTGTTTATCCATTCTTCTGTGGATGGGCACTTAGGCTGTCTCCATCTTTTTGCTATTGTAAATAGTGCTGCTGTGAACATTGGTGTGCATATATCTACTCACGTTATGGCTCGTATTTTTGTGGATAAATACCAAGTAGAGGAATTGCTGGATCATAAGGTATTTCTATTTCCAACCTTCTGATGAAGTGCCATATTGTTTTCCAGAGCAGTTGGACCATTTTGCAATCCCACCAGCAATGTAGGAGGGTCGCAGTCTCACCATTTGTTGAAGAGACCATCTCCTCCCCATGCAATATACTTAGGTAGTTTGTCAAAAGTCAGTCAGCTCTATGTGGATGGGTTAATTTCTGGATTGTCAATTCTGTTCCGTTGATCAATGTATCTTTCATTATACCAGTACCAGACTGTTTTGACCACTGTAGCCATGTAGTAAATTTTGAAATCAGGGAGTGAGAGGCTTCCTGAACTGTTGACTTTTTGGTTCGCAGTTCAGTACTTATCCTACAGCACCATTGTACATATGGATATTATCCTATCATGGACAGCATTGTACTTTATGATAGATCTTGAAATGTTCTTTGTGACAATGATTGCCATTCTTCTTCAATGGAACATTCCCGACATAGTTAGCTATATTATTGTCCGATTCAAAATGGCCAGTACAAGTTATGAGTCAGGCTGCTAACTTCAAGGTCAGCAGTTCAAAACTACCAGCTGTTCCGGGGGAGAAAGATGAGGCTTTCTGCTCTCGTCAAGATTTATGGCCTCAGAAACCCAATGCAAGTTCGCTATGAGTGGGAACCGACTCCATGGCACACCACCACCACCACCACCACCACCAATGCCTAGGATATTGTTCATTATGCATTCCATTTCATTTTTGGCCACTTTCATTTGTCATACATTCCATATTCTGATTATTTAATGATCATTGATTGACAACTGTTTCTTCTTATTTTGTGTGGTGCAAATCAGCAAATGAAGGTCCCAAAAGTTTTGCTCCATTTACATCATTATATTCAAGTCTGCTTTTATAAGAGAGCTCTTTCTTTTCTAGTTGTATTTTGAGTGGCTTTCCAACCTGAGAGACTCGTCTTCTGGCACTTTACCTGACAATGTTCTATTACTATTCATACTGTTTTCATCTTCTGACATTTTACCTGACAGTGCTCCACTGCAATTCATGTGGTTTGCAATCGCTAAAATGTATAAGTAGTCTGCCTTTCCTGCTTCCTTGTTTGTCTTAGTCTGGAAGCTTTGCTGGAACCTGTCCACCGTGGCTGACCCTGCTGGTGTGTAGAATATTTAAAACATTGATGGCATATATTCCAACATAACAGCAACATGCAAGCCATCATAGTATAACAAACTGACACATGAGTGGTGGATTTTGCCCATAGAATCCTTCAACATTGCAGGTTGATGCTTGACTTTTTTTTTTCCTTTCCTGTATTTTATTTCATTTTACTTTACTTGGGAAGTGCAGAGCATGTTCTTCCTTTTTGGTTTTCTAACTCCAGGTATTTGCACAGTTCATTATAATATGTGACTTTGTCTTATTGAGCTGCACTTTGAAATTTTTTGTTCAACTCTCTTACTTCTTCATTTCTACCTGTTTCTTAAGCTTCTCTAAGCTGAAAAGGAAGTTTCAGCATTTCTTCGGAGTCAATTTTTTACTTTTCTTTCTGTATTTCCTTTTTTTTTAAATGAACTTTTGCTTTGCCCTTGTATGATGTTTTTAATGTCATCTCACAACTCTTATGGTTTTTGGTCATTAGTGTCTAACACATGTTGGTTGCTGTGATGTTGGAAGCTCTGCCACTGGAAATTTGAAAACCAGCAGGGTCACTGTGGTGAACAGGTTTCGGTGGAGCTTCCAGACTGATTCACACCAGGAAGAAGGAGAGGCAGACTGCTTCTGAATGTTTAGCCTCTGAAAACATTACTGACAGCAGCAGAACACTGTCAGGTATAGTGGTAGAGGATGAGCCACTGAAACCTGTATGAAACACAGTTCAACTCATGCACATGGAGTTACCTTGAGTCAGAATCTATTTAATGGAAACTTTCTTAGGTAGGTGATAAGTGTTTTGAAGAAAACTAAAAGCAAAAGTTTATATCATAGCTACAACTTAATAATTATTCCCAGTATGTTTGATGATAGTATTTACTATTCTGCTGTTTGTTTAATACTAAGAAGAGAACAAAATCTCCTAATATACGTACACATTCCCATCTTATTTATTTATACATTTCCAAGTTGTACCCAGTTGATCTCATCTACTCCTGTAATTTCAGCTGGCATATATTTGTAGTTGATACTCAGAGCTACCCTTTCACCAGGAATCTTGCTTTGTGTTTTTTGTAGTTTTGTTTTTGTTTTTGTTGTTAATTTGAAGTAGGATTCTTGAAAGCATCTCAAGTTTAAATATACAAGAGAGATTATCCATCTTTCCACCTTCCCCCCAAATCTGTTTGTTCTAATTACATCATCATGTTTTTGAGTTATGTCTTTGTATAAGTCCTGGATTCTTTGTTCTGGTACCCATTTTGGTTTCTTATCTCTTGGAGTAGCACAGACACAGAGGTATAAGTAGTATCCAGGACAGAACTGTTGGTGTTTTAGGAAAAAGAAGTATAGAATAAATTCAAAGTAATTGGGTTGCTAATATGTTTGCAGTCTACTACAAGATCAGTGTTTTTCCATGATTAATTTTCTGTGGACATGACAGTGTTTCTTTATTTGAATTTTGTATTGTAAATATCCATTAAAGTTTGGGTTCTTAGTGTATTAAGTCTAAATAAGTAGGGTATTAGATTAAAAATGGTGTGCAGCTCTGAGATTTAGAGACCTTTTTCTTTAAGCCTTTTCTCTTAAGAAATTTTTTAAGATTACATCTCATTTTTTAATATTTATATGCTAATGAGATTTTTTTTTTACTTTTCTGTGTATCAGTTTCTTTAAACTTTTGTCATTTTCATATGAATATTTGAATTTTGAAGGTATTAATTTTATGTTCTTCACATTAAAATTGTATAGTTGTTATGATTTATTGGGAAACAGAAAGGTTTCTGTTACTATTTATAAGATTTTCCAAATTGTAAATAATTTTATCTTTTTTGTAGGTTTGTTAAAGTTTTGCACTGTAGGGTTTTGTGGAATTGGGAGCCTAATTGATTTCATTCTTATTTCAATGCAGGTAAGTTAGTTTCATTCTAGAAGATGAACTAATTTTACATTCAAATTAGAGTTTTATGATTTTCTCTTGTTATATTTAAAATTTTAATTTTGTTCGAAAATAGATAAGCATGCATGTTTCTTATTATTATACAGACACTAGATCTAATTGGTCATGGTCATGTTTTCAAATAGCCTTCCCTAAACCATGTATTGTTGTTGTTGTTGTTAAGTGCTGTTGAGTCGGTTCCGACCCATAGCGACCCTGTACAGGGTTTCCGAGGGTGTAAATCTTTATTAGTAGTTCTAAAAGTTATATGTATCTAGGAAAATCAGACTCAAGGGAATAACTAGTCCGAAGGACTAATGGACCACGAGGACCACAGCCTCTTAACACAAGAAGACCTAGATGGTGCCTGACTACCACTGCTGAGTATTCTAAGACCACAGTGTTGTTGTTAAGTGCCACTGAGTTGGTTTCTACCCATAGCGACCCTGTATAGCATTTCTGAGGAGCGACTGGTGGGTTTGAACTGCCAACCTTGCAGTTAGCAGTCCTGTGATTTCCCTATAGTACCTCACCAAGACCACAGTGCTATTGTTAAGTGCTGTTGAGTCGGTTTTTGACTCATAGCGACTCTGTATAGGGTTTCTGAGGAGTGGCTGGTGAGTTTGAACCACCCACCCTGAGGTTCTAACTGATATTGCTGTCTAGCACATTAACCCACAGAGCCACTCCAGGACTCCAAAATTACATAGAAAAACCCTCTCCTTTTCCCTACCCCCAAATAAAAATGTTGACCAAAACTCAAAGCTAAAAATAAATAAAGGTTAGATTTACTGATCAGAAAGAGCCTGGAGTAATCCCAAGACTATGTCCCTTACTTGTTACCCTTGCTGCCTGGAACTGACCACTTCATAGTAAAAAACTAGGCCTAATAAGTGAGAAGTAACACCCATAAGGAGCACACTGTTTGCAACAGTCAACCAGAGGAGACCAAAAGAGCAGCATTTACCCAAAAATAAAACCCAGAAGGCCAGAAGGGGCAGGAAAGAAGGGCTAATAGAATCAAAAGTGTCGGTACGCTGAGCGGGTTGCAACGCATGTCACGAAACAGAATGTGCATATAGGACTGAATGGAAAACTCATTTGCTTTGTAAACTTTTACCCAAACTACAAAAAAGTGTTTAAGATAAATAAATGTAAAAGACATGTTTCTAAAGAAGGATTCCATACTCAAATATGATTTGTAAACATGAATTCAGCTAAGTTAAAACAGTTTTTTAACTGAATACTCAGAATATTTTTTATATTTATTATAGATGTTTAAGGATGTTGTGGTTATATTATTTCCTAAACTTGTTTCGTTTCTTTTCTTGGATAATCTCAGCCACTTTGTTGATTACTATAATAGGATAGTATGAAAACTTGATGTACATATAAACGTTGCTACTGTGTTGGGTGCCGTATGAGTCAATTTCGACTGATAATAACCCCAAGTTGTCAGAGTAGAATTGCCCATAAGCTTTGCTATGTAGGAATCTTTATGGGAGCAGATTGCCTGGTCTTTCTCCCATGGAACAGTTGTGTGGATTTGAACCACCAACCTTTCAGCTGAGCACTTAACCATTATGCCACTACTGCCTCTTTATATAAACATTTTTGAGGGAGATATTTTTGTCCTGCACAGGGACTGTGAGTTAGTATTCTCTTGGTTTCAAAATGGTTGTGCTGTGCCGAGGAGTTGTTTCTGACTCATTGCGACCCTGCATTAGGTTTCCAAGGCTGTAAGTCTTTATGGGAGCAGAAAGCTTCATCTTTCCCCTGCAGAATGTCTGTAGTTTTGAACTGCTGACCTTCAGGTTAACAGGCTGACTGCAAAATACAGACACTGAAATCTGACTCGCATAAACCAAAAAAAAAAAAAAACAAAACAAAAGATGTATGGATTGTCTGTAGAAAATTTAGGACTGAGTCTGGCATTGGGCAAGACCAAATCTCTTAATAATTAAAGGGGTGTGTTCAGCACTCTTCTCATCTGCAGCTCTGCCTCTGTCTACATCAGCCGTCTCCTTACTGCCGCAGTTCGGGTAGGACCATCATTGTTTGTGAAATGTTGCCCTAAACGTTTGAAAGTGCCATCAGATGTTTTAGATTATATTGAACTGTTGTTTGTGGTTGTTGAGTGGTGTAGACTTAGTTCCGACCCATAGTTCCCCTGTATAGGGTTGCCAAGCAGCAGTTGGTAAGCTTAAATCTCCAACCTTGCAGTTCAAACAACTTTGCAGTCCGATGCATTAGCCCACAGCGCCACACCAGGACTAATGGTGGTTAACTCGTTGTTGTTGTTAAGTGCCATTGAGTTGATTCTGACTCATAACGACTCTGGTAGCGTAGTGGTTACGAATCGGGCTGCGAACCTTAAGGCCAGCAGTTCGAAACTACCAGCCGTTCCGCGGGAGAAAGATGAGGCTTTCTGCTCCCGTAAAGATTTACAGCCTCGGAAACCCTGTACAGGGTTGCTATAGGTCAGAACTGACTCGAAGGCACTTAACAACATAGGCTTTCCAAGGAGCAGCTGGTGAGCTTGAACTACCGACCTTGCAGTTCAAACTACTTTGCAGTCTAACACAATAGCCCACAGCACCACACCAGGACTTCAGTCATAAAGATACTTATTTAACTCATAAAGATACTTAAATTAACGAAGGAGATGAATTGATTACTTTAAATTACAGAAGAGCATTTCACCAACTATTTATGGACTACACCAAGTTTGTCTGTGTTCATTTAAATTGTCATGAGTTTTGCTCTGCTTTCTCATGCTGCCTTTTCACTCAATTCTGTCTGCTTGATATTATCAGTATGCTTTAAAAGAAAGTCAGAATTTAGGATACAAAAATGTACAGGGTACCATACTGTGAGGAGGAGGCAGCATATGGGCCAATAAGATACCAGAATTAAACAAGGAAAATATTTGATTTTAAAAAGTTAGAATTTTCCAGTCTTCATTCGCAAACATATGCCTAACTAAATACCCTGCCTTCTTTGTGGGACAGGCAAGCAGGCATAAAGAGGCTAAGGTGCATATGCACATATGCTTGGAAATGGGTTTCTCACTTTAAATGAGGATACAAAGAATTTAATATGTTACTGAGATTCTTCAAGTTAAGATATCAAGAATTCAGTATCTTTGAAACTAACCTTTTAGTTGCTATCTGGTAAGTTCTTTCTTTGGTGACAATACCAATGCTTTGAAGCTTTATTTATATCAAATTATAGAACTGATTAGATTCAATCATTGCCTTCTGGCACGTGAATGCCTGAAGGGTTCAGAACAGATAGTTCTTTTCTTAATGGTCTTCTGGGATTAAGATTATACCATGTTTTGAAATTATTGCGATAGAATGTTTGAATCTCTGTCATTTTAACAAGTATGGCTTGGTTTAGATTACCTTCAAAATGGAGAAAAAAGAAAATAGTTTTCAATTGTAATCAAGTAAGACATGCAGTCTTATCCTAATGTGATTTAATATATGTCATTTAATATATTTAACATGTGATCAGTTGCATGTTGATTACATCACTTTTAGTGGTGAATTATTTTTAAGAAAATCAAATAAGTATTTACTATACTGACTTGAAACACTAATAAAAATCAAAGACTACAGACCCCCCTTTAAAAATTTTTTTTGAGTGTTCTGAACGTCTGCCTGTCCTAGCAAAGATGTATTTTTAAAATTTTTTATTTAAGGTTTTTATCCTGGATTAAGTAAAAGTTTACAGGGCAGATCATCAGTTTTACATTCAACAAATCATAAACCTTGTTTCATTAGAATGATTATAATCCCCTCCAGGTGCCATCAGATAGCAGTATTTCTCTCTATTCACGTTAGCTTTTTTTTTTTTTT